CTCTCTCTGTCCCTCTCGCCTGGGCGGATTAGCATTGCGTCGAGCGCAATCAGTTAGCTTTATTGGGTCCTTTCGTCTCGCTCCGCCTGACCAGAGCGCCAGTGTGGCGTGAAGCCAGTTACAGTTCTCTGGCGGCCGGGGCCTCTGTCACTGACCGGCGGCCGCGTCAGAGATGTCCCTCCCGAGGTCCAGCGCAGAGGAGCAGGGATGCTGCCGCGGAAGCGACCGCCTCTCCAATGGAATGCCACTCTGCTATGGAACAGCTCTGGATCTTTTTATTTTTTCTCTCATATATATATATCTCTCTCTCCCTCCCCTTTTCCGCTGTTCCGTACCTCTCTTATAGTTGTCATTCTCTCTCTCTCCCGCTCTCTGCTGCACAAGATCGAATGGAGACAACATTCCATATGATTTTTGATCAATGACAAAACTAACAAAAACCGCAGACTGTGCGTATGGTTTATGTAGTAGTTACACGCATATTTTTTTTTCGTAATACCACGAGAGCAACTAGAGAACCTTGGTGCACTCTTGACCCTGCTGGTATTCGAACCTTCGGCAATCTAGTCACGTCGTTCGGCTGATGCCGGGCCGGCCGGTAGTGGTCAGCCGATAGGGTCAAAAGTTCGACCGCACAGGTGCCGCCGGTCCGACGCGTATTAATTCACGGCTTCGTTAGTTTATTGGCTCCTCTGACCCAAATTATCAATTAACATCCATTAGCGATTTGCTGACCACTAGGCCAGGGGGCCGGCCCGGCCGCGGCCGTGACCTTGAGGTCAGAATGACCGCGTCTAGCGGATCGCACCTCCTCTGTGTGTGTGTGTGTGTGTGTGTGTGTGAGAGAGAGAGAGAGAGAGAGAGAGAGAGAGAGAGAGAGAGAGAGAGAGAGATATGGGGGGGGGGGAAGAGAAGAAAAGAGGTGGTCGACTCGTCCACCTGTGGGCGGGGGGGGGGGAAGAGAAGAAAAGAGGTGGTCGACTCGTCCACCTGTGGGCAGCAGCAGGACAGGACCTCCCTGATCCTGCCAGACTCGCACCTGAAAGAACCGTGTGGTGAACGGCTCGCAGCACAGGGCGACACACTAGCTGGGACACTTAGAGAAACGAGTACAACTATTACTAAAAGAGCAAAAAACACTGTGCATGTTGTGTTGTTTGCACGGGGGTATAGAGGGAAAGGGGGGAGGGGGCGGTGCGGTGTATCTAAAGTTGCCTCCCAACAGGGTCTTTGTTGATCAAATTGCCTCTATCTAGTCTAGTAGTCCACTGGTGGCCCCCCCCCCCCCCCGCCCCCCAATACACCTGATTGTTTGTACCCTGTGTAAGGCTTATTGCTAAATGGCTTACTCCCGCAGCCTGAGAACGTATTACAAACTCAGAGGTGTCTGACAGTCCCCGTGAAGTGAGGAGTGATACGTGAGTTTAGTGGCAGTATGTAGTCCTCTGCATTCCTGTCTTATTTTTGTTTTCTGCACAACTGGTTACAAAACGTTACTCGCACGCCATCACGCGCGCAGAGTGACACAGCGTGACACGGAGCGCTCTGACAGGCTCCATGCCCTCCGGCAGGACATGGATCACGCGTGTTCTTACTCTGCTCTGTTTTCGATCGAATTTTTAAGTTTTAAATTTAAAAAAAATGTAAAAAATACTCAAATGTTAAGCTTTTGCTTGTTGTTGTTGTTGTTGTTGTACCCCTTCCGATGGCCAAACAGCAGACTGAAGTTATTACTTGTCCTCTTTCCTTAAAACATTCCGATAAAATGTGCTGGCAGGATCCCTTGGAGGATGCCTTGGAGGACGCTTTACAGGTTCCCCAGGTAAGTCCCCTGGAGGATTCCTTGAAGAATCCCTGGAGTATCCCTTGGAGGATCCCTTGTGATCCTTTCGAGGATCCCTTCGAACGTCTATTGACGCATCCCTTGCAATATCCCTTTGGAGGAAGGATCCATTGGAGTATCCCTTGGAAGTATCCCTTGGAGTAGCCCTTGGAGTATCCCTTTGAGGATCCCTTGGAGTGCCCCCCCGGGTATTCCCTCGGAGTATTCCCTTGGAGTATCTCCTGGAGTATCACTAAGGAGGATCCCTCCCCTTATGGGTCGGCTGCAGTCCGCGGCTGGGCCGGGCCGCAGCAGCAAGGTGTAACTGAGGCACGCGGGCGCAGGGCAGGGCCACGGGCTGGGCGCGGCGGCGCACTAGGGATTTGATGATCCCTGTTTTGGAGCGCGCCGAGTCGAGCCGGAGCCGGACCAAGCCGAGCCGAGCCAGCCGTGGCGGGGGCCGAGCCGGGCGGCGTGGCCGGGTCCCGTCCAGTGCCCCCTCCTTAGGCCCCTCTCCAGCTCGCGGCTCACCGGCCAGGACTCCGATCGTCTGGTGCAGCGGCGGGGCGTGGCGGGGCGTGGCGGGGCGTGGCGGGGCGTGGCGGGGCGCCGCTGGCGCGGTGGAGCTCCCCGTGGGCAGTGGCCGGCAGTGCCGGAGCCGCCTCGCTGCCTGGACGTTCGTTGCTCCCTTCCTGCCGCGAGGCGTTGTAGCGCGCCGCGTTCTCCTACCCGGTGCAGCCGACGCCAGGCGCGAAACAAAACGACCGTGTGCCTCTGTGAATTCTCGTTTGTGAGCTGACTGCCGTTGTTCGTTTCGTCCGTCATGTTGGTGTTCCTGTTTCAACTGTCGCTCACCTTCGCGGTGTTCGTCATGATGCTGTACCTCGTCCTCCGGCTGGGCTGCCGGTACGTGGTGGGCATGTGCTCCACTCTATGAAACCGTCACACATCACACTCCCTTGGATGGTTCTCCTACTGGAAAGCCTACCTAGTACAACATCCTGGAACGCCGCGTGTCTGTGATAGCCCCGGCGTGTCAGTGTATCGTCCCTGACGGAGAGAACGCCCCTGCGAATCTGTTTTGTGCCTTCATATCATCGTCTCAGAGGTGTGCATCAACAGTGTCAGGTGAGCTGAAGCATCATGGAAGCATGTTCGTTATATTTTCATCTTAAACATCGCGGGCATCGTGCCACCTTGCCGGCCGGCGAGCGACCGTGCGTTTGCTTGTGAACGTGTGTGTGTGCAGCCTGTTGACACATTCCGTGTGTCGTCTGCTCCTACTTATGGAGAGAAAGAGTACGTTCCTGTTGTCGGCTGGTGCTGGTAGCGGAAAAACACACTTGTTGCTCTTTCTCTCTCACTGTCTTTCCCTCTCTCTATTTTCTCTTCCATTGCCTTCATTTTTCCAATTCTCTACCATGTTCGCTCTCATACGTCCCGGCGCTATAAGCGTACTTATTACACCTGTAGACCTTCTGGACTGTATCACGTGTAAATCCTGAAAGTTGTAAAGTAATGGTCCTGCAGAGCCTTAAATTCATTGCATTCAGTCAGACTTTTTTAGCATTTAGTAATTTTGATCGAACCGACAGTCCAAAACTAAAAAGAATGACAGAAATGCATAGAAAAAAGTCCTCTTAGCGAGAAAGCGCGCCAGGGAAATGATATAAAATAGCTGGAGCAGGTTTTTATGCGATGGGTGTTACGGGGTGTCAACGCGTCCGGTTGTGTCGTTGTGTCTCTGTTTTGTGTGTGTGCGCGCGTGTGTGTGTGTGTGTGTGTGTGTGTCTCACGTCTTTTTAAATGCTTTCCCCCGGACGTTCGCGAACGCTTCTGTCTTTCTGACCCTTGGTCTTCCCTTCCCTGGATGATATATGGAAAAAAATCTACATCGGGATGCTGGTTTTTGATTGCAAGCCTGCAAGTCGGCGACTGCATTTCGGAAAGCCCATAGAGCATCACTGGGCCGTTCTATATCCCTGATGATGTTATATCCCGTCCACTCGAGTTTTGCAATTCAAAGCAGTGTCTGGCACTGCATTCTCGAATTCCACTGCAAGGGCATCCAAGGACACACCTTCCTTCGGTACCGGTCCCTGGGCTCCTTGCTGCGTGTGGTCGCACTTCTGTTCAACACGGACGCTCTCCTGTTGCGTTCCCACAACTAAAGTTTTACGATGAGATTATTCCAGAGGAGGCGGTGTAAAATCACGTCATCCACTTGATGACGCTTGGCTCTGCCGAATCGTCGTCATCCCGCCCGTTTGGACTTACAAATCCATCTGCACCTAATGGGCGAACGCGCCGTCCCGTCGCCCGAAATCCCGTTCAGTGTCCCCGCATGTCCCCTGGCCTGGAGTCTTGGAGCGGCGCCGCCTGGAGTCCAGTCGCCTGCTGGAGTTCTAAACTGGAATGCAGGCCTGCGTCCGAAACGCACGTCCTTATCAACTCCAGCGCTGCCCGAACGGCCGGCCGCTCGGACGCAGTCTGACATGGCTATTAGACAGGCCGCATGCCTTTGAAGCACGTAACTGAACAGGCCTTCGGGATTGGCTGAGCGGCAAAATGACACTGCTGCGTCTTCAAAAAAAAAAAAAAAAAATATCACCGCGGACGTTTTACAGAAGATATGACAAGATTTGTAAGGAAAATCACTAAATCACTACTGCTTAATTTCTGATAGGCCACGCTCCTATGCCTTTAACGCCCCACAAGCGGTCTGCAAATCACAATTTCCTTCTCCGAGTCACTGACTTCCAGTAGCGTATTATTAGGAGATACCGGAAAGGCAGGCAGGAGTCTGCCACGGTTACACAGAGTGCGCTTGCCTGGAAGCGGAGTTTCTTGTTTCTGTCTTCTTATTGCAGAGTCCTAGAAGACTAAGCACTCTACTTATCACAAAAGGTGTGAAAGGAGCTTGCACTTGTCTTTTTACTGCTTTCTTCTGCACGAATATGTACAAAAATAAAACACTTGCAAGAAGATTCTTTTTTCAGACTTTAGAAAACCTTGTAATTAGAGGGAATGTTCTGCTTGTGTGTCGATTGTGATCTCCAGGCACACCCCCTGCTAATGAATCTTTCCTGCCTGAATTATCGACTCATTTGGAATCGATACGTCGAAATGCCAATCACGATGAATAGTATGGGTGCAATCAGGGTTGCAATCGGGTGCAAGCTGGAGCAAAGTATGGATGAGTGCGGTTTCACGAGTCGTGTGCGCTGCTAGCTTGCTTATCAAATGTATCGTTTCATTTACCGCCTGCTGCCGTCACAAAAAAACAGGGCATCCTTACAAAAAAAGTGTTTTTTTTTTTTTTTTTTTCGTGAGAAGATTTGATTGCGAAAAGAAAGTCAGAAGTTGTCAATGTTATAAAATATACAAAAAAAAATGAAAATAATAGGTCCACCTTTAGGTCCCTTTCGGAGATGGCCTATAATGCGACGCGACTGTGGCTAGCCCTGGCCCGGGTCCAGTTTGTGCATCGTCTTCCTAGTGCACTACTGGGCGCCACTCTGTTTCGCATTCGTTTCCACCCGTTTCTCCCTCCCGGTGGCCAGCGTGCCCACGCGCCGCCCCATAGCCCCGCTTGTTTTCACTAAGGCGGTATTGGCCGCACGGCAACGCTTTATCCGCATCGCTGGACAGCGCTTTCATGCCTGAAATGGCCGCAGGGCATATTTGCTAGAAATCAATCTTTTTGTTTTCTTTTATCGAAATATGTCGCTTAATTTTGTATCTTATTGCGTCCTTGTGCGGTTATGCGTAGTTGCCGCCTTCCTGCGTTCAGGTCTCCTGCTGCTCATGCGAGGTTCAAAGATCACACTGGAAAAAAAGGGTGTAAATTTGTCACTCACCTGCAGGTGTGCGACAGAATTTTCCCACACCTGTGGATATGTGCAATGTGAATGACCATTCACACCTGTGGACGGGTTATATTGTTTCCTTTTTAAGTGTTCGAAACTCTTTTCGGTCTTCCTGCGAGTATTTTGTCGCCCACCTGCAGGTTGTGAGTATTTTGTCGCACACCAGCAAGCGTCTGAATCTTTTCACTCAACTACGCGTACACTTTGATTTAGCATCATCAGCTCTAGCGTATTAATGATGAGGTTTAAAAAAATGTTTATTAAAAGACGGAGACGCAAGACGAGACAGGCACTACTTGGTTCAACGCCATTCCGTTTGTTTTGATCGGAATGCCCGGCTCCTGTCCAGCCATTCCTGATTCATTCTCTGACGTTATCGCCGCTGAGATTTCAAGTGAGGTGGCGTTGGAAGCGGCACGCAGCATCAGCGTGAGGCACGCCACTCCGAACCCTGAACACTGAAATCGCTGGAGTGACGTGTCCCATCTAAAAAGCGAGGGACGGAATTTATCTTTGCCTAAATTAGAGAGCTATGTTCGGTTTCGTCGCTCAATATTTAAGTAATTAAGGAACATCGATCCATTTGGGTGGCGATTTCGAACCATCGCTCTTCTTCTAAGCGACGTTTGTCATTCAAAAAAGGCAATTTTCTAAAATCATTATTCAAATAGAGCGACGAAGTCAAAGCGCTGCAAGAGAGACTAAATTGCGAATCCACAAGAGCGACGCGCCCGTGACTCCTGCATTTGCAGTGAAGCGCGGTCGGTATACTAGAAACCGAGTATATTTTTCACGGTTTCGCGAGGTTTTTCTTTTCGGGCTGCAGCCCGTTTTGAATTGGAGTTATTAGAGCAAAACATATGAATAATACTGACAGGGAACTGAAACATATGTACCTCATCTGTCAGTGAGTAATTCTCATGGTAATGATCTTTTTCAATTGGCATAAACAGCTCATCTGCCCACAACTCCCAATGTGCCCCTCCTCCCCCCAAAAATCACTCCCGTCTCTTTCCTTCTTGGCGACTTCGTGTTTCGGAAAACCTACCCCAATCCAACTTCACTATAAAGTGATGCTGGCCATGTGGACTACAGCGTTACGTTATGCACCGCTGCCGCTCGCTGGCGCGCACCTTTCACGCGGCACTTTTCTTTTTTATTATTATTATTTTCACGCACCTGTCCCGCCTTGCCGCTCCAACAGGTCGAATCGCTCGCACCGCGCCCAAATACTATTCCCGAGAGCCCCCCCGGAGTCACGTCCTCGCCTCGGTCGCGTGCGCTGATTGGTCGCGTCCGAAACTTTGTTTTGTATCCCGGCCAATGGGAGCGGTCCATGGCCTCCCGGCCTGCCGCAGCATCGCGTTTACAGCCCCAGTCAGGCGGGTCCCGTTTGATGCGTTCGCACCTGGGGCAGGCCCAGTCCCCGCTGGGGGGACCGGACAGGGGCTCCTTAACTTAAATTAGAGCAACGAGGCGCACACAAACTTCTGAAAAATTATCAACAACCACCGTGCCCGTGTTCAATTACGGTCGCCGAGCGAGCCGGCATAGCGCGTGATGGAATGCCAGATCTACACAACGACAACGCGTCGCTAACAGTAATTCCCTCTCGAAGAAAAAAAATAAAAAAAGGCAAGAAGTGCTGCTCTCTCAAAGATGTGTAGGTGTAACGTTGTGTTTTTATCGAGTTCTGATAGATCTTAATATCTGGGTGCACACGCTAGAAGTGACTGCTTGGTTTTCAAGCAGATGTGGTAATTTCCGAGGACTTTTTGCTTGAAAATTACCGCTTTTGCTTAGAAACCAAGCAGTCACTTTTAGCGTACAGGGTGCATAGCTTTTGAATAGAATGTTATGTATCAATTCATCAATTCGTAATACGTCACAATTGTTTTTTTTTTTGTTTTTTTTTGTCTGTCGGCCGGCAATCTTTCTGTTGTTTTGTGTCACATGTGCGCATCATCCACCCGTAAATGTTTCTCAAATATCTTTTTCTTCCGATTAATTTAGCGCCTCTAAGTTGGGGACGTCTCTATAAATTGGCAGGACGACGGACGCACTTTGAGCGGCGACATCTTCTAGATCGGCTAGATCGGAGGACAGCGTGACGTCTGCGGCGCGGCGGCCACGGCCGGGCTGTAGCACATGCCGTTGGAACAGGTTCACCGGTCAGCGGCGGCCAATGACTGGTCTGATACGACGAACTGTATCCGTGAGAGAGCCGAGCGCGTCTCTCGGGATCGGAACCTGATGGAA